CTGATCTTGATTTAATTTTGGGAAATGGAATTTGACAAGAAAAATGTCCATTTCCTTTAGATTTTCAAATTTTGTGGCATATAGGCTTTTGTAGTAAGACCTAATGATTGTTTGGATTTCCTCAATGTCTGTTGTTATTTTCCCCTTTTCCTTTCTGATTTTGCTGATTTGGATAGTTTCTCTTTGCCTTTTAATTAGTTTGGCTAAGGGTTTTTCTATCTTGTTGATTTTTCTCAAAGAAGCAGCTCTTGGTTTCATTGATTCTTTGAATTGTTTTATTTGTTTTTAATTTATTGATTTCAGCCCTGAATTTCATTCTTTCCAGCTGTCTACTCCTCTTGGGTGTGTCTGCTTTTTTTGGTTGTTGTTGTTCTAGGGCTTTCAGGTGAGCCTTAATTTTCTTGTATGAGATGTTTCAAATTTCTTCTTGAAGGCACTTAGTGCTATGAACTTTCCTCTTAGCACTGCTTTCATTGTGTCCCATAAGTTTGGGTATGTTGTGCTTTCATTTTCATTGAATTATATGAAGTCTTTAATTTATTTCTTTATTTTTTCCCTAACCCAGCTGTCACTGAGTAGGTAATTGTTCAGTTTCCATGTGTATGTTTTGCTATTTCTCTTGTTGTTGAGGTCTAGCTTTAGTCTATGGTGGTCAGATAGAATACAATGGATTATTTCAATCTTCTTGTATCTGTTGCTTTGTGACCAACTATATGGTCTATTTTGGAGAAGATTCCATGAGATGCTGAAAAGAAGGTATACACTTTTGAATTTGGGTGAAAAGTTCTGTAGATGTCTATTAGGTCCATTTTATTTAGAACCTCTGTAAATGCCTTTATTTCTCTATTTAGCTTCTGTCTAGATGATTTGTCCCTTGGTGAGAGTGGAGTATTGAAGTCTTCCACTATTAAGGTGTTGGGATCTATGTGTGATTTCAGAGTTAATAATGTTTCTTTTACAAATGCAGGTGCTCTTGTGTTTGGAGCGTATGTTAAAAACTGTGATGTCCTCCTGGTGGATATTTCCTTTGATGAGAATGAAGAGTCCCTCCTCATCTTTTTTGATTAATTGTGGTTGAAAGTCTATTTTATTAGGTATTAGGATAGCTAACCCAGCTATTTTTCTGGGTCCAATTGTTTGAAAAACATTTTTCCAGCCCTTTACTCTGAGGTAGTGTTTACATTTGTTGCAGAGGTGTGTTTCTTGGATTCAGCAGAATGTTGGATCCTGATTCTGCAACCATTTTGTTAGTCTGTGTCTTTTTATTGGAGTGTTGAGTCCATTGATGTTGATAGATAATAGTGATCAATGAAAGTTAGTTTCTTTTATTGTGGAGTTGGTGGTGTTACTGTGTTTTATTGCTTGTTTTCTTTTTTTTCTATGTTTTCTTGGGTGTAGTTGTTTTCATTGGATTGGAGTTTTCCTTCTAGTATCTTCTGTAGGGCTGGTTTGCTGTGTAGACTTTGCTTAAATTTAGTTTTATCATGGAATATTTTGTTTTCTCCATCTATGTTGATTGAAAACTTTGCTAGGTATAGTAGTCTGTGTTGGCATCTGTGTTCTTTGCATCTTGGATCAAAGATACAAAAAATCATAAAAATTGAGTCTTTCAAGATCCATTCAGAAACCTCTTTTTCTGTAATGATATAATTTTTATCAGCTATTAGTAACCATTTGTGATAAGATGTGCTCTTTAGTGTAGTTAATCAGAATATGATGCTTACTCTGATTTTTATTTCCATGTTCATTTCAGTACTCTATAATACATATTTCTCTCACCCACTTTCAAAAAAAGGTTTTCTTAAGAACTATTATTTATTCACTTATTCAACAGCCTTACATTTTAAAATCTACCATGTGGTAGGCACGAAGTTAAGCATTATTTGATTTGGAATTGATGAAGATAGGTGAGGTCTCTGCTATCAGAATTAACAGATTAACAAAAACCTGCAGACATTAGCTAAATGAGCAGGTTAGTTACCATGTACCATACCAGTTCTGGGAAATATGGACACAGCAGTATAAAGACAGAAGTAGAGAAGCTCATGTATCCTGCAGGAAAGAGCAACAGACAGTGAAGGAAGTATAACTTTGGAAAATCCTTTCTAAGGGAGCTCTGGAAGGTAAGGGGTAAGAAGGAACCGGTTGATGGCAAACAGGAGTTCCTTAGGTTAGGAATGGGTGCACTGTGTTTGATGTAGATCAGTTTGTAATTTTTTTTAATTTTAATTTTTTTCTTCACAATTTATTCATTATATATCCCAACTGAAGCCACCATCCTCAACTCCCCCCAGTTCTACATACCCTCCCTCTTCTCCCTCATCCCCTTCCCCTATTCCACTGAAAAGGGGAGTTCTCCACTATTGCCATCTGTCCATGGCTTGTTAAGTCTCATCAGGACTGCTGGGATCTTCTTCCTCCATGGCCTGACAAGGCTGCATCATCAGGGGAGAGTGATCAGAGAGCAGTCACTGAGTTCATGATAGAGGCATCCCCTGCTCCCCTCACTCAGAGATCCACATAGAGACTTAGCTACCAATAAGTCACATCTGAGTAGGAGGCCTAGGTCCTCTCCATGCATGGTCCCCCCTTGGTGCATCAGACTCTGAAAGACCCCCTGGGCTCATATCTTTTAGTTTTGTTGGTCTCCTTGTGGGGATCCTGTCCTCTCCATGTCCCTTTATTCCCATGCCTTTCTTCCTCCATAAGATCTTCTGTGCTCTGCCCAAAGTTTGGCTGTGAGTCCCAGCATCTTCTTCCATCCCGTTGGGTGAATCCTTTCAGAGGACCCTCTGTCGTAGGCTCCCATTCAGTTTCCTCTCTTCCACCGCTTCTGTCTTGCCATTCTAGATGAGATTTAAGCATCCTCCCTAGGGTCCTCCTTGTTGCTTAGCGTCTTTAGGTCTGTAGATGGCTATCCTATATTATACGGCTAATGTCCGTTTATAAGTGAGTATGTATCATGCCTGTCTTTCTGTTCCTGGGTTATCTCACTCAGGATGATCTCTTTTAGTTCATGATTTCATGATTTCCTTGTTTTTAATAGCTAAGTAGTATTCCATTGTGTAGATGTACCACAATTTCTGTATCCATTCCTCTACTGAGGGACAACTAGGTTGTTTCAAGATTCTGGCTATTACAAATAAAGCTGCTATTAACATAGTTGAGCAAATATCCTTATTGAATAGGGCATCTTTTGTAATTTTGGAATGGGAACATTACAGAATTTATTTTTAAATTGGTGATATGAAGGTGGACACATAAATTAAAGTTGTGGGGTAGTCCAGGACAGCAAATGGAACAATTTGAGAAGAGGGCAAGGAGAGGCATAGTATACAGCAGTAAATCCTGGGAAAGGGGACAGTGCTAACCAGGTAAGTGCAGTAGGAGAATTGGCACAGTTGATGGCCTACATACAGGTGTTCTGAGCTCCAGATTGTTGTGTAGGATTTTTCACTTTATTACACAGATGTAAAGATTCAAAGCCTACAAAAAGTTTTTCAGTTTTCCCTATAGAGTTGTGGTTTCTAAAAAGAGAAAAATAAGAACATTGAAAGGATTTGTACTTATATAAATCATAGGGTCTATTCTGAGAAAGAAGAAAATGAGTAGAGGGTGGAGAAAGAAGAAGGCTGACAGAGCTAAAGGGAAGAGAGGATCCATAGTTTGCTAAGTGGATGAAGTTGAAAGTGATGTGTGGTCTATCAAGTGAATTTCATGCGCTTATTACGGAGTATTAATACATCTGATATGATGGTTAATTTTCATTATGAATTTGACTGGAGTAAGATGCCTCGAGGATTGGGTGTGGTCAATTTCCAGAGATGAGTTCTGATCTAGTGAGAGACTTCTTTATGGACTCATGATATGATGGTAGTGAAAAGTAGGAGCTGGGTCTAGTTGGAGAAAGACGCTGACTGGGGAGATCCTTGGAAGTTTACATACATACATACACCTCTCTATTTCCTGTTCACCATGAACATGTCTACTCTGCCATGCCTGTCATGTCATTGTGGATAAGCTGTGAGCCAAAATAAATCTTTTCTTCTTTAAGTTGTTTCTGCCAGGTAGTTCATCACAGCTAAGAGAAAGACAGTGTATTTATCATATATGCTTCTATGTATATGCATATAAACTCTAATAACATTTTAACATTGAAAAGAACGTGCTTTTGTATACATGAATGAAAAAATGTGATGGTGACTAGAAATGCCGAAGATGTCTTCCTTTTATTGTGATGTTAATAAGTGATCATATTGGCCTTATTACTTCAAATCAATTAATTGAAAATCAATTTGGCCCCAAGTACCAAAATTCTGCAAAGTAATGATGTCAAAAAGCAACACAGAGTGCTATTGCCCATACATAGTGGGCACATTTGGAAGTGTGAGACCTGAAAAATAGTTCAGGATGTAGAATTTAGAAAGAAAAACAAGCTGATGAGTCAAGAGTAAATGCACTTAGTATAGAAAGGAGGAGATGAGAGATGAGGCCAAGGATGTGATGGAATGATTTTTAAAAGACCTCATAAGTTATAGTAAGAAAATTTCACTACAAAAGTGATAAGAGGACCTATTACTAGACTTATACAGAGATTCAATGTAAAATATGATCACTTATAAAGCATGGAAATTTTATGATCTCAAGTATAAAGCTATAAACTTTGTTATAATTTCCAAGTATGAAGAAGTTAGTTAAAATGACATCAGAACAATATGATTTTTTCATATTTCATAATAAAAATTTTTCATTTTTATCTGAAATGTATTAATGAAACAATATTAAACAAAGAAATTAAGTCCTGCTTACAAAGCATTATTAAATTCATTAATCTTCTCACAAAGGAGAAATTAAATTTCCTCTGACTCTGGAGTATATTTGATTGCTGTTGCACAGTTCCTATTATATTGGTGAAAATATTAGATAATATACCACTAACTTATGCATGCCACCTAACACCTGCAATCAAATGTAAGTGGAACTATACCCTTTCTCTCTAGTGACTTAAACTTTTGAGATGCTGCCGTTAATTGGAAAGGCCATCATCTTTGATAACTTTCCTGATCCTTCTGATACATGGGAAATCACTGAAACCATTGGCAAAGGAACGTACGGGAAGGTTTTCAAAGTCCTGAATAAGAAAAATGGCCAGAAAGCAGCAGTCAAAATTCTGGATCCAATCCACGTGAGTCACTTTGAGTGTTTTTTTTTAAGACCGTGTTTATTCACTTGTTTGTTTATGTGCATGAGTATATGTATGTGAAGGTGTGTGTGGAGACAAATGTGCATGCAGGGGTGTGTAGGTCTGTATGAAGGCCAGAAGTCATCCACAGCTGTCACTCCTCAGCCTTCATTTACCTTGTTTGGGGAGCAGAGTTTCTCATTGACTTGGAACTCACAATTGGGCTTGCCTGCTGGCCCAGGATCCACCTGACTCTGCCTACCCATCCACTCTCCTAGCTCAGGGGTTACAAGCACGCACCCCCACATTCAGCATTCTTATCTGGGTCTAGGAGTAATGGAGAATGAAATTGGATATAATGCTTATAACATTAGCACTTTACCAACTGAGATATTGCCCCAACTTCTATTTTTTTCAATGTCTACTTTATTTTTCTTTGTATTAAACACTTTAAAAGTGTGAGAGTATCTTATTCTAGCTCACTCATCATCCTGAAACAAGGTGAAAGCAGAAAAATACTCAGAGGTCTAATTATTTTTCCTCCTATTTATGTGTTTTGCACATGCCATAATGACTTAAACAAATACATAAGCACAAAAATGCAGTTCTCAACAATGAAGCAGTTGGTGGAAAGCCGTTTATTCTTTTAAAAAAAAGTCATAGAAACAAACTGTTAGGTCTAGAAGTTTTCCTGAAAATCTGGTTATAGTAACCTGAACTCCGTTTTTCCTGCACTTATGTGGGGTTTCTCTTAAGCCAAACTGGTGAGGATTTTTTACTGTTAAGCTGCACAAGGACAGTAGTTGATAGGCCAGCGTGGGTAAGGGAAGCTCGTGGTGGTCCACCCCTGGATGAAGAGCTTCAGGCCATTATTGACTTCTGAGAGAGAGAATCAGTCTTTTCCAGGAATGAGCCCCCTGGTAGATGAGGATCTACCAATTCCAGGTGGTCAGCCCGAAATAGACAGGAATAACACTAAATGCACAAGTGTGTGTGTGTGTGTGTGTGTGTGTGTGTGTGTGTAGCTGTAAGGAGAGGAGAACTCGTGAATTTCAGAGGGAATAGGGGGATACAGGACATGAAATTGAAGGAGGGAGAGGTAGATTGTGTATATGTATATGTATATGTATATGTATATGTATATGTATATGTATATGTATATGTATATGTATATGTATATGTATATGTATATGTATAGTACTTATGTATGAAATTCCAAAAAAAATTAAAAATAATGTTTAAAAGTGGCGTTGTTAATGAAGTTTTTCATAGAGAAAAAATATTGAATTTCTCTCAGATAAGAGAATTTTCACATTTGCCTACGAGTATCTGTAAGACCTGGGGTCTCATAGCTCAGGAGTTCAAGATCACGCCCTTCCCAGAAACTCCCACAGGCTACGACTCATTGCAAAAGCAAGAGGTTTAATTTAACCATTGCGCAATGGGGTCACCCCTGCCGGTCAGCAAAGAGTGGCACTGGGAGACAAAGGCCTTAGATTTTTAAAAGAAAAATTGCGGGAAATTTGAAGTTGCAATTTTGGCAATTTAGGATTGGATGAGGAAGCTATAAAGTAAGATAATTGGTTAGTCCTAGGTGCTCAAGCTTGACCAGTCCTGCCAAGTGTGGATGCAGCTGCAATTGAAGGTGGGAGTGGTTAGCTCATCCTTGAAGATTAGGGCTGTGGGCTCTTGGCTGGAGGTCAGGAACTACTCAGAAGAAGAATTGGGGCCATCTGGGTTGGTTGCTAAGAAACATTATCTCGAAGACAAGGGTCTGGTCGTTCTTTTTGCTGAGTGAAGGTCATTGCTTGCTCGCTTTTTTTCTATCTGTCCTCACAGATAGGGTCACATTCCTCCATTCTCTGGAAAGGTACTAAGAGGCTTTAGCTTAACCTGAACCTAAAACTCAAAACTATAGGCTTTAGAAGACATATAGGTTACAGAGTTAGTCTAACCCTTTCATATCCATAGCAGAAATTATGTGGGTTTATCAGGGTGACGCTCCTCACGGAAAAGTGAGTGTGAGGTGCAGTCCTGTTGCTCTCTGTTGAGTCGCCAGCAGCAGTCCCCTACACTGAACTGTACCCCACTCCGGGCTTGCTTTCTAAGAACAAGAGTTAGCAAGTTGGGAATATCCGAGCCTCCTAGAAATAAGTTTTCCATTGAACACGAGCGAGCTACATAAGGTCACAGTCCTATACTCCCCACATTCTACTGAAGGTCTCTTTTATTAAGAGACTCATGGTAGAAGTGTGACATGATAGAAATAACAAAGTATCAAGGACAGTGCAGTTCTGATACCTTGACATGGCTTGTCCACTAACAGAGGCTCCTACAAAACTACCTGTTCTTTATTCATCTTAGGGGTGGTCTTTTTGATAATTTATCTGTGCTAAAACCATTATAACTGTGACATTACATGCTATTTTTAGCAGAGGATTGGGGAAGGAAGCTTGACTTTAAAGTGGGAGTTCTGACACATTGGAAGGAGAGAATGGGGACGGAGACTCCAGACTCACTTGATTGGCAACATGCTCACAGCGAAGAAACACAAGCTGTGTTGTGCCAGAGGGGCAGCACTTTTTCCTTCAGCTTTTTGGTGTTAGGGTGGGAATTTACAAAAAAGCAACAGAAAACAAACACTTCAGACCAATCCCAACACAGTCCCCAAATTAATGTATCTTTCCCACTCCTTTCCTCATTGGTAAGAGCAAATAGCTTATGACACACATGATCATTTCCACAACTTATTCATTTATGATGTTCTTACGACACTTGAAAAGCAGGATTTTTAAATATTTTTTGAGAAAGAAGGGGAAGGAATATTAGATGAAAGGAGGGATGGGGAGAGAGGGAGAGGAGATAGAGATAGACAAAAGAAGCATGTGGAGGTCAGAGGACACCTCTGGCCATCTCAGGAACACTTCCTGTTTCCTTTCATCACATTGGCCTGTAGCTTACCAGTGAGGCAGGATGGGCTGGCCAGCAAGCACAGGGCTCCCGGTGTCCACCTCCCCAGTGCTGGAGAGCAGGTGCACACAACTGGGCCCAGCATTTTTACTGAGTCCTGAGCATCAGAATCAAGTCCCTTGACTTGTGAATGAAGTACTTTACCAACAGAGCAATCTCTCCAGCCTTCTACTGTGTTTTAATGAAAGATTCACAATTATAGTAATTAATTTGATAGTTTGCTGATTTTATTCTTGTCATAAAACATATACACTTTCCTAAAAATTATTTATTCTTCATCCATCATGTAACAAGTCAGAGAAAAATAAAGCATGGCCAATAAATTACATCTTAAAGAAATTTAAATAAACCCACACTTTAAAAACAAATGCTAGAATCTATTTTTAAGATGAAGAAGCCTTAGTATTTTGTATGTTTGTCAAAATTCTGAGTTTTGATCCTCTGCAAGGAAAGGATGACAAGAGCAGGGCTGGAAGATGGAAGGTTTAGCATATAGACCTATGTTTTCCCCTGAACTGAGCCTAATTTCTGAGAACTTAAACATTTTTCTTGTAGTGTGGTGACTCTGTAGTGAAACAACAAAGGCATTAACCATGACTGTTAGAGGAGGACCACTAAAATGTTCTCTTACTGTCTGCAACTTGGCCCATAGAGACACGGAGTTCTAGAAACGGCCAAATGGGTTTCCAGCATTTTATTAAGACATCAACTCAATCCACTCCTGGTGGATAAGCTGTTAGTTAATTTAACCTTATACTGTATCACATGATTTAGCCCCATTTTAAGTAGAAATTTGTGCTCTAAAACAAAACAAAACAAAAAAAGAAACTAACTTTTCAGTCTTATTTTTTTATTATAAATTGATGTCTTTATCATTGCAATCAAATCAGTAATCTGGAGGAGTTCTCCACTTGCACACAATAATAACCTTTATTTATCCCCTTTAAAATTCGGTTAAGTTAATGCATATTGAGACAAATTGAATTAGTACAAAATAATAAACTCAACAGTGTATTGAGAGATTTCAATACTGCATTACAAAATGGGGTACCCATGACTATAAGCTTGCTTTAATGAAGTTAGAATTCCCTATTTAGTATCTTAATATAATTTTATTAGCATCATTTGGGTTTTCTGATAATCATCTTTTTATGACCCATTTTAACCCAGGATATTGATGAAGAGATTGAAGCAGAGTATAACATCTTAAGAACACTTTCTGACCACCCAAATGTGGTCAGATTCTATGGGATTTACTTTAAGAAGGACAAAGTAAATGGAGATAAGCTATGGCTGGTTCTTGAGGTGAGTGCTCAGCGCTGCTTGTATGATGTGATTTGTCATCATACAAGTTTATGTCACATCTACAGTATGCAAAACCTGTTTATAGTGTGTTGCTTGCTGCTGATGTCCTCAGTATAATATTTGTACCAATTTAAGCATTGGCATCTTAGACACATCAGGAAATTAAAAGTCTATAAAAACCACTGAAAATTAAAAGAAAATGAGTCCATCATAAAACACTAAAGAAACTATGATAATTTTTGTCATACAGAAAAGCAAGTTTCAAGGGAATTTCATTGTAATATATAATTTAAAACTTATTTGGGTGGGTGATGGTGGCACACACCTTTAAGCCCAGTACTTGGGAGGCAGAGGAAGGTGGATTTCTATGCGTTGGAGGCCAGTTTGGCCTACAGAGCAAATTCCAAGACAGCAAGTGTTACACAGAAAAAGCCTGTTTCAAAAAGGAAGGAAGAAAAGAAGGAAGGAAGGAAGGAAAGAAGGAAGGAAGGAAGGAAGGAAGGAAGGAAGGAAGGAAGGAAGGAGGGAGGGAAGGAGGGAGGGAGAGAAGGAGGGAGGGAAGGAAGGAAGAAAGAAGGGAAGGAGAGAGGGAAGGAAGGAAGAAAGAAGGGAAGGAGGGAGGGAAGGAAGGAAGAAAGAAGGGAAGGAGGGAGGGAGGGAAGGAAGGAAGGAAGGAAGGAAGGAAGGAAGGAAGGAAGGAAGGAAGGAAGGACAAGTTGGACTGGGGCTAGGGTATAAGAGGGCAGTAATGTTAAGTGAAGGCTCCTTAGAAATAGCTGTGTTCTTTTTTTATCTTTATTGAAAGCTAATGACTTAAACTACAGAACTAAACATCTGCTTTTATGGAGAAAAAAACGTTCTCCAAATGGTTGTCTGAGTAAACGGCCATGGGCAGCAGGGAAGAATGCTCTTTAGAGTGTGCTTTCTGATACTGGGCAGTCTGCTCTAAGGGTTACTAAGATCCCACCTCTCCCTAAGGTGACTGACTGCAGGCACTAGATTTCAATTTTTCATTAGTCGAGTAATCGTTAATTTAAACAGAAACTATAGGGAATTTTTAAAAGTTGCTTTTGGGCTGGCAGGATGGAGCAGAAAGCAGCGGTCCTTCCAACAAGCCTAATGGCCTGAATTTGATAACTGGAATCCACATGGTGGAAGGAGAGAACCAATTCTTGAAAATTGTCTTCTGACCACAGTCTTCATTTGACTAAGTAGCAGCATAATATTTTCTGTGTTAATTACAGTATCAGAATTTCGTTGTTTCTAGTAAATATGTATTTATTTTCTTGGGATAGCTGGTCTTTATGCTGCTAGAATAAACATACTACAGACAGTAATTTATTAAAAAGTTAAACAGTGCAATATAGAGAGACTCTGTCTTCAAATCAAAAACTGAAAGAAAAACCAGACACATTAATAACAACTGACAACATCAAAATCAGGCAGTCCAAAGAGCTGGTAACATAAAGTCAAAATGTCGACCCACCTTACTGGGACCACCTTGTCCTGTCCAGGTCTGTGCTGTTGATGTGCTGTGATGCTGCACATAGAGAACTGTGGTTGACCCTTTGTAGTCTCAATGGTACCGTTTGAACATTGGCAAGACGGCCCATTCAACCTTGAGACCGTGTGTGCTCCTGCCAAGTCTGGAGGTGTGCCTGCATCTGGCCTCTGCTGTTTCTCTGCTGCCTTTGTACGTGGGAATGTTCCTGGATAGCTGGCCTCCCCTTCCCAAGTTTGCTTCTCTACATGACCCATGTAGAGTGGTAGTACGTAGTAGTATACGCACCATTCATGTTCGCCACTGGACCAGTGCCCTTGATTCCTGCTGGTGCTTCTACGGGAGCGGGAGGCCCAGCCAGTCTCTTACCCACCTGTATGAGGCTCAGGCGGGCTCCCGGGTGCTGATACTTGCTGTTCTGGATGAGAGGGTGGCCGGATTGATGGCTGGACACTTCCAGACTATCCTTTGTTTTCTGACTCTTGCCTTTCCTTCCGCCTTCCTTGCCTGGCACTATGTGGGCTAATCTCTTTTGGCGAGCACCGAGGAACTTTGGAGAGCCTTCAGTTGGTAGCTTCTGCTTCTTTACATCAGCCCTGACCTGCAGACGTGATTCCATATTCTAAGAGTTGGAATCTGGCCCATTGCTCACCTGCTTTCTGCTTGCTTTGTGTCTTAGATTGTTTTTATTCCTTTATTGGCATTTAAATAGATATCATGAGTAAGAGGAAATTAACCAGTCTCTCACCTACAACCTTTAATTATATTACAAAACCTTCAAAAATATATTGTATTTTAAGAAATGTTTAAGAAACATTATATGACATTTATAAAATTTAAATCATTGCTCCTTAGAATTAGACAATTTACTGTTTCAAAGCTATACTTTATACTTTTTACTATAAGATAGGTTTCTATCTTAATTTAAATTATATACTAAACAAAGCTAAACTTTTATTCATCTAAATTTAATTACCCAAGTAATAGAATGCATATTGCAAATATAAACCATTTCTTTCTTACATCAGTAAAGAATTTTTTAGAGGCTTTACCTCAGTTTTCCATCTTATATCTGAGCTGTTATGTTGTATGAGTCTTGAATGCAATTTGTATACACATCAAATACTTTCAATAATCTGTGTTTAGCTTTACAAAGAGATTGGCAGTGAAATAGAGATCTAGATTCTTTGGCTGATAAGGATCTGTATGGTCAAGGAAACATTCTGTCCAAAGCTCAAAAACTACTAAATAAGATCATTTAGCCTGTCAAACTTCTATTCTGATTACACTGTAACTGTCTTAATGGATTAAACTGCCAAAATGGAGTGCTTTCTGGCATAATGAATTAGTAGGGACTTAGAGGTTTCTTTGATCTTTGTCCATATGCTTACTATCAGATGGAAATATAAAACATTTTCCTAAATGACTTGGAAGAAAATAATAATGCCAACTAGGAAAATATCACCATGATGACACTTTATTGCCAACATGACTGGATTTTGGGTCCCCTGAAAAACATTACTCTAGGTGTCTGTAAGGGTGTTTCCAGAGGAGAGTTAACTGTAGAGAGTTCTGCTTTCAATGTGGAAGGCACTCTCCGTTGTTGGAGCTCCCAGAGTGAATGAGAAGGGAGGCCAGGGGATCACCAGCATCCATCACTCTCTGCTTCCTGACTGAAGGTGCAGTGTGACCAGCTGCCTCTGCCAAAATGTTCCCTTACCTTGTGAGCCCAAATAAGCTCCTCCTCCCTTAAGCTGCTTTTTGTTGGGTATTACAATAATAACGAGAAAAATACTACAATAATGAGAAAAGTAAGTAGTATAAATTTCAACAATCTGATCTAGCTGAACTAACAAAGTTGGGGTGAGCATAAAGAAAGTGAAAAGTTAGTAAACTGGATATAATTATTGTAATTTGAATATGCAAATTATACTAATTACATTATATACAGAAGTGGCTAGAAGTACAATTACCTGATTTAGAAATGTGAATGGTGCAGGTGCTCCTTACAGGCACATTTTACAAAATTGGCTGTGGCATCAATACCCTGTGCTACATAATGACTGCCAATTACGCCTCTTTTCATAATAAAGCCCAAATAAATTATTTTGCATGAATATAACTAATGACTGGACAAAGAGGGGTGATGTTACCCAAAGAATTGTGCTAATAACTCTCAGCTTTTAATGCGAGTCCCTATAAATAAGGCGTGTACTGGAGGGGCTGGATCTGAGCTGTGCATGACAGCCCACAGGCTCCGTCAGCCTGCCAGGTGGGGAAGGCCATGCCAGCTTAGATAAAGGCCTGCAGTGGTTTCTCACCACGATAACTTTTTCCACTTCAGTTTCAATCTAGAACTGAAATTTTTGGAATAGAAATTCTCTACATCTTGCAAGGGCAGGCTATTTTTTCATTGTTTGTTTGTTTTTTATTTTATTTTTCAACTTTATCACTCCTTTATTTTCATCCAGTTTATTCCCCCAGTTTATAAACTCTTTAGGAAATGCTTTCATTTGACTGCTCTGTATGTTCATTCTGAGTCTAAAGGTTCCCAGGCTAGTGAAAGCAGTTTCACTTAGACGAAACTTCTTCATAAAAAGGGGGAAGTCAGGTTAGTCTGTGACTCCTGCTTTGTCTTTTGTCTATGAAACACCTGTGGAGGTTTTTACTATCACACTATATTTTATTATTTATAGTGATGTGTATATAAAGGCAGAGCAGGTGATTTTGTTTTCACCATACCTCATTATATAGTATCTTACTTCTGTCTGTCCTGTTGAGTAAGACATAAATGCCACCTTTGACCTGGAGTTTCCTTAACCCCTATTGTCTAATGTTGAGGTCCCTAAGGAAAAGGATGGCAAGGGGCAAGTTGAGTAAGGTTTCTGAATATTCTTATCATCCAAACCAGGAGAGCAACATAACAGTCATACTGTCTTAAATTGTTCCCATTTATCCTCTGCTGCTGAGCACAAAAGAAAACCGAAGATTTTACTATGACTTCCCTTCCCAGGCTGAATGAACACATTTAAACCCAGACTCTGGAGACATTTGCCTAGTGTGCCTTCAGCCATAATAGTGCCAAACTTCAGAGCAGGGCATCCTTCCATTAAAAGAGCTCGTCTGCCCTCATGCATCGCTGTGCTAATTGCTCCTCCATGGAGGCACTGCCCAGTTGCTCTGCTTCATCCCAGTCAGCCTGATCTGGCCATTTGTAATAGTGGCGCCGCTTTCTTTCATGGCCTTCCAATTACAGCAATTTCTCTCTTTGAAATTATATCCCTTTCAAGAGATCAAAGACTAGCAATTACAGGTGGTGTTTGAAAGCGCAAAAAAATCAGTAAATAGTTACAAAGCCTCTCAAATAGACATTGTAGTTCATTGAAGCAGTCTTCATAGATGCATTATTGTTTTCTGGTTTTTCTTCTATTTACGTCTAGAAAGTAATATAAGGTCTGTCATAAGACAGGAAAAAAAACAGGATGATGAAGGCAACATA